GATAATGATGATGATGATGATGATGATGATCAATTTTGAGATAAAGAAGATCAAAGATTGGTGACTGTGAATGTTGTTCCATACCTCAACACGAGCCGCATAATGGTGGCCATCCCATCCCTACCCTCAAATATCACAATCCTCCTCCTCCTCCTCCTCCTCCTCCTCCTCCTCCTCCTCTTCGTCAAGTCCAGTCATCGACACCGCACCTTCTCACTCTCAACAATGTGGACTTTCTCGAATTGAATCTCTTCGCAACATTTTGCTTCCGCCTCTCCAGCTTCTTGTTTCTTCTCCTCCTGCAATGACATGCTTGCGTCCAGCAGCAACTGCACCGCTGCCTCAGTCCCCAGCCCGTTCACCTCCTCCTCGATTTTCGTCACCTCGGTGCAACCTGACACAGGGAATCAAAATTCTCCCTCAAAATTTGAAAATAGACAAGGTGAAAATGAGGTTTCGACAACAAGAGCCAGGGAGCGGTAGCTACACGACGACTCACCTTGTTCTTTTCTTGCCCCAACATCATCGAACTTTGACAACTTGACAGCACACGTTAGAAGGAGGAGAGTGGGGACAAGGAGGAAGAGGAGGCATGATGATGATGATGATGGAGATGATGACGAGGGAGATGATGACGACAACGATGATGGTGATGATGATGATGATGATGATGATGAAGGCGAGGAGTACGAGGAGGAGGAGGCAGCGTCCACACCTCACTCGTCGCGCTCATGAATTCGGAGTTGTGGTTTATCCCCTCAAACTTGCCCTTCATCGATCGTCAAGGTCATCAGGAAAGACGACAACAACAACATCTATTCACCACTGCCGCAGCTGCTTCAGCGTCGCCATTATTTACAATCGGGTCGTAGGCGCCATTGGTTATGTTCACGACAGCTGTTACATCCCTGGCCCCTTCGCCCTTGGGTCTGATGTCCGTGAGGAGAGAGTTGGAAGCGAAGAAACCTGGAAAGTTGAAACACAATGAGGTGAATCGACGGATTCAAGACATGTTGAGCAGCGAAACTGTTGTCACCTGTGGTTATCTGGGGTAGAAAGTTTCCGAAAGGAACGAAGAAAAAGCGAAAAAGCTGTAGGATCCCATCAGAGTCAACTGAGATAACAACGACAGGAGTCTGAAATCTCTTCATTTCACGTTTCCATGGCGCAACTCTATCATATCAGCACCGAAAAGGTTCTTCAACACGTCAAGATACAGGGAGGCAGCACATTCACGTCATAAAGTCTTAGCTCCGCTCTCTTCAACACGTCAAGATACAGGGTGGCAGCACATTCACGTCATCAAGTCTTAGCTCCGCTCTCTTCAACACGTCAAGATACAGGGAAGCAGCACATTCACGTCATCAAGTCTTAACTCCGCTCTCTTCAACACCTTCATACCTGCGAGAAGATCATCCTTGCTGTAGAGAGCGTTGACTTGAGGAGACTTCCAACTACAGGTAATGACATGATCGCCTGCGTTCTTTAGTGAGCAGTGCAAGTCTGTCAACAACAAGATCTCACTGTTCCGAAAGTTGTGACTGTCGGAAAGACGACGCGAGCGACTGACTTTTCTGGCTCTTGTTCAACTCGGCCTGTGCTGACCACAACATTCGTCGATTGCTCTTCATTGTTTGACGGCTTGTTCGCGTTCTGTCAACGCACGGGTTATGCCTTGACGACGTGGAGGCGGGAGGGATGGAGAGGAATGTCGAGTGGAGGGGAGGACAGGACGAGAGAGAGGAGACGGGGAGAAGAGACAAGAGGAGTGGAGTGGAGTGGAGTGGAGTGGAGTGGAGTGGAGTGGAGTGGAGGGGAGTGGAGTGGAGAGGAGAGGAGAGGAGAGGAGAGGAGAGGAGAGGAGAGGAGAGGAGAGGGGAGGGGAGGGGAGGGGAGGGGAGGGGAGGAGAGTGGAGGATAGAGTTTTAACCTGATCCTGAAGGAAGAACATCGCCTCCTCCATCTCTTCTTCGATCGCAACTCTGTAGATCTTCTCGGGGTGCACGACTGAGATTTCTCCTCCCAGCCAAGCGACCAGAATCTGTAGAGGCAAAGTTGAGATTCCCTTCCGCAGGCCTCCCTGCTCCTCTCGTGCCTACACGCCTTCACGCTCCCGCTCTCGCTCGTACCTCCCCCCCACCCCCCCCTCCACCCCTTCATTCCTTTTCCTTCTCCTCCTCTTCCTCCACTTCATTCCTCCGCCTCTTGCGGTGTCTCCTCTTCCTGCCCTTGCTCCACCTATTTCCCCTGCTCACCTTCCCGTTCGGCTCGATGTCCACCACTTCGCCAACAGAACCATTCCATGCTCTTTCCTCTTTCTCCCCGCTGTTCTGCTCCGCGTCTCCAGCCTGGTGATCACACGACCCTCCCGCTGCTGATTCCCACGCACAAGTCCTTTCCTCAGTATCTAAACGAGTTGCTGTTGGGATTCCTTGTACGTCTCCCCCCTCCAAACTTCCATTCTCATGGGCCGCCACGTTTCCTGCCGGCTTTTCTGAAGCAGAGTTTTCATCCTCCTCCTTCATTCCCTTGCTTGTGCTTTCCTCCTCGTTGCCCGAAGGTTTGCCCCCGTCTGTGCATGCTCCTGTCTCCAGCCTTACCACTACATCTCCCATACGGAAGCTGAAATCTTGATGAGCCTGGTACAAAGCTCAATGGCTTGCAAGGGAGGGAGGGAGGGGCCAGAAAAGGAAGAAGAGAAGGGAGGGAGGGGGAAGGGAGGGAGGGGTAAGAGAAGGAAGAAGAGAAGGAAGGGAGGGGAAAGGGAGGAAGGGATTCAAGGAGGAGGATGGACGGAGAATGGAGGCAAGGAGTAGGGGCGCGGGAAGGGGGAAGAGGGAAGATGAGGGAAAGCTGGAGAAGGGAGAATCGGGGAGGAAGGAATAACGAGAATGAGTATAGAGAAGGGAGGGAGGGATGGAGCAAGGAGTGACGGAGGAGAATTGAAGAGGGAGGATTCAGGAAAGGAGGAGGGTGCAGGGGCGGATAGAGGCGGGTGGAAGGAAAAGGGAGGGGTCTGAAAGAGGAGGCAGGTTGAGGGGAAGGCAGAGAAGGGAGGATCGGTGAAGGAAGGATCGAAAGAGATGAGTCTGGACCTGAAGGTCGAATGCGCTCATCACTTCATAGTCGTTCTTGTTCGCATCTGTTGGCTCGGCTACTTGCCCCTCATCCAAGACCTGGTGATGGAAGTATGAATATAAGAACCAGTGAGATCAGCAGCGATAAAGAAACTTGTTATTGCGAGAGAGAAAGCTCATCGTCATAGAAACATTCTCTCACACGATTGATGATATACTTCCAACTGAAAGAACGGAAAGAGAGATGGAGATGGAGATTGAGGGATGAAGAAAGCAGGAGGTACAAGAGGAAAAGGTGGAGAGAGTGAGAGAGTGAGTGAGTGAGTGAAGGAGTGGAGGGAGGGGGGATGGGGGGGCCGGGAGAGACGGGGCGGATGGATGGAAAAATGGATGAATGGAAGGATGGAGTCGCGAGCATCACAGAATCTCTTCACCTTGCGAACGAGGGCCATCCTCGACCTTTCATCAGCGGAGATCACGACATACAAGTTGGACCGACTGACAGGAGCCGAGTTGTCCTTCTCGCACAGGAGGTCTCCGGGATAGAACTCGTGAGGCCCCGGGTTGAACATATGTGTGTCGACCGCAGACACTGAAGACGCGCTGGTACCATCCATGTACTTGATGTCAACCTCAGTCCTCGTCGCGATCACTTCGCAGCAGTTGGATATGTCGTCGAAGGGGACCCCCTCGTCACGGGGGTAGGACCCTCGATCTCCGAGCCTCCACCACGTGTTCCCAAAGTGATTGAGGACTTGAAGCTGGTCTGGTGCACAGTTCACCCTTGGAGGAAGGGAGGAGGCGCCCTGGAGGGCCGTGATCCACACCACCAGCACCTCCGACGGTTTGATCGACACTATCACCCCCTTTGTCTGCCTCTCGTAGCTCCCAAAGATCCACTGGCTGTTCTTGAACGTGTCGGGATTGTTCGCTTTCACCATCATGGAAGGAAAGAAAGGGCTCCTCTCGTACATCTTTTGTACGGGCACAAGATCGCTGCTCGAGTTGGAGGAAACCAGGCAGCTGGCGCCGTCGTCGAACCTCACAACAATGTCCTCCTTGCAGTTCAACACTCGGCCGAGCCAGCCCTCGGATACAACCCAGTTGCCCTGCCTCATGGGTTGCAGATGTCGCATGTCCCTTGTGTCCACGTCGTTGATCAGCATCCCGTCCGAGAATCTGATGTCAACATGTATCCTCGTTGAAGTCACAACACCCTTCTTCCTGTCATGTATCACCGTATCTCCATGTAGTAGCGTTCGATCAAGCACCCGCAGGTCCGTTATCAGCTCCATCTTATCATTATCATATTCTCGCATCCAATACACATGGGCTGTGGGCGCAGAATTCCTATTCTCCTCATCCTCACCGACACAACACACGATTCCGATGGCTGCGGGGTCAGCGACGAGGGAAACAACATCTTCAGGACATATTCTTGTCGCCATCCCTGTAATAACCTGTCCTCTACTATCTACTTCACGCGCCCTATTTCGAGAAGGTCCTGCCCGCCATGCGATCCAGCCACCTCCTAGTTGCTTCCATAAACTTCCTGTGCTTGCTGGAGTCGAATGACAATCAACAAGGTACCTCCCAGCCCGAACAGACCTGACAGCAATGTCAGTTCCGATCAAAGGATTCAAGCTGCGAGATCATGCGTAGCTTCCATGTGCTATCATGACAACCAATGTTTCTTGCTAACGGTCTTCCAGTCTCTTTATCATTGGAGCATAAAGCACAGGATGATCAACTTGTCGCCTCGAAATTCATCTCACCAGTGCAACCTTCCAAGATCTTACAACAATCTGTACTCTTCATGGACTGGCCCTTGAAATACCTCCTCCCCTACCTTTCTCACTCGATTCCACCTACCTCTTTCACACTCAATCAGTCAATCAGGGCCTCTCTTCCTCTCCCATTCCCGCACCCCCTTATATCCTCTCGCTGGTCTCCTTCACTTCAGTTCTCCTTCCCCTTTGCTCTCCTCTTCTTCCCTCCTCCTGCTCGCCTGCCGAATTCCTCCTTCCTTCATCCTTGTTCGATTCTCTTTCCTTCCTCCTTCCTTCATCCTTGTTCGATTCTCTTTCCTTCCTTCCTCCTTTCTTCCTCCTCTCCTCTCCTGTCCTCCTGTCCTCCTGTCCTCCTGTCCTCCTGTCCTCCTGTCCTCCTGTCCTCCTGTCCTCCTGTCCTCTGTTCGAGAAAATTTCGCTGGTCTTTTTCACAAAACAAAAAAATTGCTCTCCTGCTCTCCTGCTCACCAGCTCTCCTGCTCTCCTGCTCTCCTCCTCTCCTCGTCTCCTGCTCTTTTTACTACTGTATACCCGGATATCGTGATCTGTATACCCGGATATCGTGATGATATCAATAGAACCTTCGAGATCGGCTGTAGTAAAGTCCCAGTTTTCCCCGACTGCGGGTCGGAGTTCTTGTTAGAGCTGTGGCACTTTGCATG